CCGATGATAAATATAATTGCTGTTGTCATCATATCGTTATTATAACCATCACCACTATACTATCAGTATGTATATTATAGTAGGTAACACAGTATAAACAGTAGTATTCCCATCAGTAGTAATTACCTATCATTGATACTGTTTATCATTAAATTGCCATTCTTATCATCTCCCTAGAACAATGAATTGTAAGCAAGCTTAACAAAAGTTACAGAGGGTTTTGGTGAAACGATTTATACGCCTCAGCTTGGCACTCCGAGTACAAGTTTAAAAACAAAAACCCCTTTTTGAACTACCTATCCATTTCTCCCTTCGCTCCTCGAGTCTCCAGGAAAGCTGCATCCGCTTTTCTCAGTCATATTGGGTTTGCCTCCTACTTTACACATAATTTTGGCGCCGGATAGTTAGGGATATCTTTTTTAGCAGTTTATTTGTTATTTGTTATTATTATTGTTGTTATCATTATTATTTTATTATTTATTTTATAGCATTTTTAGGAGCATATTATTTTTATATTATTATTATTAGTGTTAGTATTATTATTATTAATTATTATTATTCTTATTTCATTATCATTTGTATTATTATTAATTATTATTATTTTATTATTACCATTCTTATTATTATTAACATTATTATTAGTATTATTAAAACCCATTAGTCATTATCATTATTATTGCATCATTATCATAAAGAGCAGCATTACTATGTTGTTATTCTATTATTATAATTGATGGGCATTACTTTCAGGATCCTGTATAATGAATAAAGTAACCGATAGATAAATCGGCTAAATAAACCCATGACTATCTTAATGAATAGGAGCACTATCAATATCATTGTTTACGTGAAGATAGTGCGATAGATCTATAGGAGATAGTTTAAAAGAATGAATAGAGCTGGTGCGTAGGTGAATAAAAGAAATGGGCAAATAGATAGATATAACACATGATAGACAAATGCATACTGATAAATCAATTCAGGCGCCTTAGTCGTGGGGGTGCTGGAATTCTTAAGTCTCTGAAAAAGCTAATATTTTGCAGAGAGTGGTAAATGGTGGAAGTGGAACTCCCAAGCCGCCACGCAACGTCACATGATAACATGAAGTTGGAGAATACAACGTATTAAGTTGGCAATCTGGGATCCCTTCAAGCAAGTTGATTCTGGCGCTGCAACTGATGCACAACAGGTCATCATAGGTAGCCGGGAGTTTGGGGATGGTGTTAGAAAATCATTACTGAAATATACGACACAAGTATAAAAGTGAGAAAGATTGTGCGCAATGGGATATTATGCACCTAAAACTCGAATAGCATCCAGTATTTACTGTGAATAAACTCGATATATCATCTCCCGAGAGATATATCTCATCATAACAAAAAACAAAAAATAAATTAAATATATCACTGGATACTTATCTTAATGTAATATATATTAAGATAATACTACTTAGGGGGGGTGCGTGAGGTAAAATTATAACTTCTTTATTAAGTGCGTTGGTGTGCGTGCTGTTTGTGTTTATGTGTACACACACACAACACCCCACCACATAAATATTATATATAGGTGGGGTGCGTCGTCGGAGAATATATTATACCATATCATATCTATCATATTATATATGTATATATGTGTATGTTATATAGATTATGCAATATATCTATTATTAGGAGAGATATATATACAATATGTATGGTATCATATATATATATCTAATATATTATAATAATTATATATATGGGTGTGTGTTGGTGTTGTGTGTGTGGGGTTGATATAATATGTCATCATATATATATCTGATATATGATATTATATAATATATAACTGTGTAAATGCATTCGTATACATATATATAATATATATAAACACGCATACTATATATTATCTATATATATATTATATATATATATATACATATATACATATATGTACATCTAAATTATTGATTTATACGGTATGCTATATAGTATATATATATATATATATATATATATCTATATAATATTCTTATATGTATGTATACGTGTGTGTTTGTATGACCGATATATGTAATATATATATATATATATATTATATATATATGCTTTATATATTGTTAGCATTATAGTGTGTGTGTATACTAATATGTCTCCCTACCACATTTATGTATTGCATAAACATAAAATATATATATAGTATATGCTTAGATATATATGATATATAATATATATATATATACATTTATAATATGTATTGCTATAATATTTAATTATATATTTACACTCTATATTTCATCTCCTGCAACAGAACTGGACAACATACTTGCTAAAAACTAATACCATTGTGTCACTCCTCAGTAAGGCATCATGGCAACAAAATGTTACCTGAAAATCACAATTTTGTATATTACGGTGTACTTTATTTTCATTTATTACAAATAACGCTCAATTTGATTCACATGCTATGACGTTAATTTATCACACTACGGAAGCCACTATTACTTTATCCCAAGGCTCAGTTCATCAACTACAAAGTTCAAATTTTAATTCACTGCAATGCTGAACTCATAACTTCAATAATATCATTAACTACAAGCTTCATTCACACCTGGAACTTCAAAAGTTTTCATGCTTTCGCTGCATGAATGAATTCAGAAACTCCAAGCCCATTTTAATTCACAGAAGGTTTGAATCATCGTACAACACATCTTCATTTCCATTTACTAGCGAGGCCTCCATTCATCAAGGTGCAAAACCTCATATTCGTTAACCTCAAAGCTTGATTTCCTCATAAAACACCCGCTTTCAATTTACCCACTGAATTGATTTGATCTTGCAGCATACTCTTCTCCAGTCGGGAACTCTACAAGGAAGACTTTGGTTGGTCCGCAAAACAATGCACTGCAACAGCAAGAATTGATTCTGACTTGGAAAAAGGTTAGGCCCTACTTGCCCACGACATCCTGAGAGCTGTTGAGTCCCTCACGGCGCTTGAAAGGAATCTGAAAAGGAACTCGATCGTATGGATAATGGCAGGGCGGCTGCCCTTGCTAAGGTTTGGTTTTATTTGTTGTTGAGGCATATTTGATTTCTGTTAAAATAAGTATTTAACTCAATCCGCTTTTTCTTAGTTTTACCGATAAGTGATTACTCAAGCGATTGGAAAGTAAAAGGTTTACTGAATATTTATGACCTGGGTATGCATCTGGACTGCCTCATCTTCCAAGATACCCTACACACACACGCATGTACATATATTTAATATATATAATGCTATATACTTCCAAGATCATTATCAAAGGGTAGTTTACTTTCAATTCCTTATTTTCCTCTCATATACATATTTGTTCTTGTCTATAGGAAAAGTATTATATTTCTATTGTTATATATCTTCACCATCCCCTTGCCAGGATGATTGGGGTTCTTTCTTCTATGTGGCTTATTCTGTCCTTTCGATGCCAGATATCGTTTTCTAGTTACTTTTATCTTTTGTTTCTCTCTTTTACCATGAATTTGTCCGGTGTCTGAAGTCAGTCTCGTCTCCTCTCTCTTGCGTCGTTCCTTTCTCTCTCTCCCTCTTTTCTTATTCCCTCATACGCCGCCAGCGCCCGAGCCTTCTCTCTCCTTGCCCTCCCTCTCTCTCCCTCCATTCCTCTCTTCTTAACTCCGGTTACCTGCCCCTCTCACTCTCCTTGCTATTTCCCTCCCTCGTACTACCTTGTCCTCTTCTTTCTGCCCTTTCCCTTATACTCGCCTATCCCTTCCACTCTCCCTCCCCTCCCTTCCCTCTTAATCGCCCTCTCTCTTACTCTCTCCTCCTCTCCTCCCTCATTCTCTTTGGCCTTTCCCTCTTCATTTTTCCTCTCCTTCCCCCTTTCCCACTCCCTCTCCTCTCCTCCCATCTCCCCTCTCACCCCCTTTCTTCCTCTTCCTCTCGTCCCTTTCCTCCGCCGCACTTCTCCTCATTCTCTCCTTTTCCCTCTCCCTCCCACACGTCCTCTTCTACCCTGTTCCCCCCCTCTTTGCATTTCGCTCTCCTTCTCATCCCTTCTTACTCTCATCTCTCTCGCGCTCCCCTTTCTCTCGGCCCGCTCCTTTTTCTTTTTCTCTCCTTCTCCGTCTCTTAAACTCATCTCTCCCTCGGGTAATCTTAGGAGTACATGGCTAATGTCATCGAGGTGTCAGGCAGGGTGCTTGATGATCCTAATTCCGCTGCAGGAGCGTCAGGGAGCTTACAGTGGGGTGCGTCAGGGAAAGTGCAGCATAGTCCGTCAGCCGCTGTCAAAGTCCGCGGAATCGACTCAGGCAACGAGTAAGTTCGAGACGAAAACCGTCGTAGAGTTAAGATTTTTTTGGTTTTTCCCTCTCCTCCTCTTCTTCAATCTTCATGTTCTTGTTCTTCTTTTCCGGTGGCAATAAATGGGTGAAGGATTGTGTTGTGGTATGTGTCATGCCTCTGTGCGCGTCTGTATTCGTCCATATGCTATATATATCTGTTAGTCGTCTATGTCTGCCTGCAGGTCGTCTGTTCCTACCTCCTATCTGTCAGGCTGTCTGCTGTCTCTGTTTTCTGACTGTCTGTCGGTATGTCTCACTTTCTATCTAGCGCCTTGTGTTTTAAGTATGTCTATAGTCTAATCTGTCATATACCTAATTCTGATATTTAGGGTGGGAGCAGCCACACTTGAACTTATTAAGGTAGGAATGAGGAATAACCTACGTTCCCATTTCCCTTTTGAAATGTAAGCGTTTTTCAATAGAGTTTAGGTCAATCTCTCGGATTACCCTAAATCCGATCTTCTTCCAGGAAAACGAGCCTCATTTCCAAGAGTTGAAGTTGGCGCTCTTGCCTCGTCAGATTGTAATAAGTCTTGAATCAGTCACGACGGTTGTATCCTCTGATTGGATCAGGTCCTCCAAGTATACCCATTAGTCTGCGAAGTCACTTAGTAGCACAGGATTCCACAGCACGGCAATATCCAGTCCACACAATTATTGAAAAGGTTGGGCCAGGGACCATCCATGTCTCACCCCGACAGACCCGTGAAAAAGCATGGATGGGGGTCCTCATCAGTTCTGTTAAATGCCCTGCGTAACCTAATAATCCCAAAACGGAGTCCCACGGAGACCCATTAGGCTCCAAGACTTCTCCCGTACCGATCAAATCCTTCTGAGATCAACATGAGCTGCAAGCATACCTTACTGAACTCAAGTCGTGTTTCCCAAGTACACGAAGTGCTAAGACAGTTCCTACATTGACTTCTTGGGTTGTGAAACCAGACTGCTCATGTCCTGTGCTCGTAAAAGGTGGGCGCAAGAAGCATATTGAAGCGAGGACCTTGCCTGTGCAACATAGCAATGTATACCTCTTGTATTTGCCACAGTCCCTTGAGATCCCCTTTCCCCTTCCAGATATAACTATGATATTATATATATATTATTATGTTTTATTGTTCAACAGTCATACAATCCCCCTACATATCTAGCTCTTCCCTTCATTATTTGGCAGTCCAACCGCTTGCCTACTGACCATGGTTTCAGCGCGCCAACACCTATGCACGGCGGCGATATCCCCTTAAGACACCTGCGTTTAATTATCTCAAGGCGATATGTTCGTTTTCCCCCCTCGCCGTGATATCACGCTCGAGCGCAGACATATTTTACAATGCCGTAGTGGGAATTGAACCGGACCAAAAAGATTTCTAGCCATGTGTCTATATAGATTTGTATATTAATAGATGGATGTACACACAACCTTTATATATATATTATATTATATATAATATATTATTATTATATATATCAGTAAATGGATGGCACTACATAATATATATATATATATATATATATTATATATATTTATTTACTATCTCATCAGTAGATTCTGGACCACCACAACATACATACATACACACCCTCCATATATATATATAATATCATATACACACACATATGTATATATAGATTTTATATATCTTAATGTTATATATATGTACCACACGCATATTATATTATATATTATGTACATATTACACACACCAGATAGCTGTGTGTGGTGGGTGTGTGAGGGTTTTGTTCATCCAGCGAAAATTATATATATGTATATATACACACATCCTCACTCTTCTCTTTGATATACTACCAATACGGCTTTGGTGAGCGTTTCTTCTGTTCCCTACTCAATTGTGAGCATCTTTTCAAACCTTTTTGCCTGATGAATATATCACTGCCGGGTCGACACGTTTTCGAATTCACTTATATATATGTTTGTATGTGTGTTGTACATATCCATGCCACACACACACCACACACACCACACACACATATTATATATATTATTATCATACCACACGCATAATATATGTACCACACAACCACAGGGGGGACGTGTGTGTGTTATCTTGTGGGATGTGTATCTTTGTGTCTGTTAGTGATTATTGACAGGGAGCATAACGACCTAATCATGCCTTTGTAAATTAAAATAATGATTTGTATAGCTTGTATCTCTCGCATTTGCTAACTCTTCTATCATTCCCCTTCGACACAGTTATTCTGCCGTCTATCTCTTACACACCATACGCACACACACAACCCACACACCGCACACACACTCGCGTGCCCACAATATAATTATATATCTTCTATATATATATTATACCATAAATATTTGCACCTACATATAGACATATAATACATAAATATATACCTATATGTATACATATAGATATCTATAATATATATATATAAATATTGTATATATATATATATATGTCCTTCTGATTGCATTCATAAATGTAGTTGTATATATATCCTGTAGATAGATGCCTGCGTGTGTTTTTGTATGTAGAAGCGATTGTATCATTGCAAATATATATATATATGTCTGTGTGTGTTTGTGTGTGTGCGTGTAACGGGTGTGTGGTTCGTGTTGTGTGTGTCATGGTGTGTGTGTTGGTGTGTGCATGTGTGTGTGTGGCGTGCGTGTGTATATAATACATATATATAGTAATATCTAAGTCCGTGTGTGTGTTTTGTAGTATAAAGATATTTTCTAATGCAATTCTATATACTGTCTGTATTGTAGTGTGTGTGCGTGTAAACGTGTGTGTGTGTTCTGTTGGTGCATGTTGTGTGTGTTTGTTTGCGTGCGTGGGTACTAAATACATAGATATATAATACATAAAATATATCTATATTTAAGTATATATATATATATATTTAATAGATGGGCGTAAAAACACACAAACATATAGAATGTATAGTATTACTACACGCAGCACCTACAGATCTTTGATTCTATATGTATTATGGATACATATTTATATAAATAAATTACGTTATAAACATATATCCACATATGTATATACCCACGCACAACACACACATATATAATTGGATCTGTGTTTGTGTGCGTTTGCATGTGTGCGAGTGTGCGTGTATGTTGTTGTTTGAGTATGTGTGTTTGTTGGGAGTTTGTTGTGTAAGTTGTGTGTGTCATAGATATATAGCATTGTACAAATACAAACGTATTAATACATCATATGTAATATATATCATACATTGGAATATCCACACACGTGTGGTAATCATAATATAGATGATATATATTATATCCATAATATAATGTAGACTTACTATATGTATAAGTATATTATTTATCATATATATGTATATATGGACATATAGGTATGTATATATAATGTCCGACCCTCGGTTCATTCTTCTCCGTCGCAGTAGTAAAATTCCTGCGCATTGATAGGCTGGTTCTAGCCGAAAACGACATATCATCTTGATATGCCAAACGCAGGTGTCATAGGGGAATTCACCGCCGTGGCACAAGTGTTATCATGTCGAACCCCGGTTGATTAGGAAGAACTCCAAATCAGGCAAGGGGGACACCTGCCTAACCTCTTAATACTGAATTGGAGAGTCCTTTCCTGCAGATGAATAAATGTCTGTTAAAACAATTATAAGCACCCACACCACCACAACACATATACTATACATATATATATATATATATATATTTCAACAGCCAATATATTCCTGCAGGGCATATGCCTCTCCATTCAATTTGAGAGTTATTTGGGTACCAACCCTTGCCTTATTGTATGCCCTTCCTAATCAAAACCGCGAATTCGGCGCGCCTACACAGTGTTCCCAGCGTGACTTCCCTACGACACCTGCGTTTGAATTCTCAAGGCGATATGTTTCGTTTTCCCTCGTCAATAGCGATCGGGCTCGAGCCAGCATTCCGAAGTGCCGGCCTTTTTAACGATTGCCGCGGCTAGGAATTGACATGGGTTGGAACCGTACTTTTTAATCACTGGAGCCATCATGTCATGTGTATATATATTTACCTATATATATTGATATATATATTTATTTGAAATATATCATAAAACCGATATATATAGATAGACTATTTATAGATATTACATACACCCCTATAATGTTTATATACACATATATACATACACAGACAGACATACACAAACATATGTATAGAGATATTTTAGATGTATTATTCTGAAACGAACTACACTTTACTCATTCACACTATTACATGCAAATTTTAAGATATTCCATTTTGTAATAAGACCTCCTCGACGCACTACCATACACCCGCAAGTATGTTTCTCAGAGTACCACGCAACTAAAAATGTTTTTTCCATGCCACCACATACCAGGACCGACTCTATTCCACTACTACACCTGGCAAAAGAAAAAAAAAACGGTCTGCCACACACAAACAAAACAATATTTTTTATTCTACCCTATCACGATACACTATCCCTATTCCAAAAGAAAACAAATTAATAGTAAAAACAGACCACCACAGCCTAACTAAAAATATCTCTTATACACTGCCACATTTAAAGACCAGTTCCTCCACACTACCATATACAAGCTTTTAAAAATCCAGCATAGTAAACACTAAGAAAACATATTTTCCACACTACCTAATAAATAACAAAATGTTTGCCACATATTGAAGCCTTTACCTCCCTACCAGATGTACGCGTATCCAGTCGTCCTGCGAACGATTACAATGTCACGACTCGCAGATACGACCACATTTATTACCCAAACACTTTCATTGAGCTTCCTGAACTGTTCTATCGCGGTTACGTCAATGAGGATAACAACGTGAGGGTCGTTTTTATGTCATATGCGACCCTGCACAGCGTCACTAACACTATACCGCAGTAAGTTCATTTGGCGCTGTTCGGTTCTCTGTAGTTTTGAATCTGGGTGGATTTTAACCTTTGGTTATGTACTTTGGAATATATTTGAAATATGAAAATGGGTCAATGTGGTATATGGTATAAATCTCATTCACGCACACACGCACATGCTTGTGTATGTGTGTAAAAATGTCTCAATATATTTCTTCGATAAAGACAATATAGTCTTTGAACGGTGCAAATGAAAGATTTTGGTTATGAATTTTCTCATAGTAACACATTGGTTTGTTTATCTGCGTTCACAGCGACCCTAAACAGGCTTCCCCCGACAACTTTCCAGCTAAAGGTCAGGTCAACAGCGGAATTATCAATGCCATTGTTGGACAAAAGGGACTCTGGCGCGCAGGTAAGGTCATCGGGTTCGTATTTCGGTCTTTATCTAAGGATCAAGAGGCAAATGTGTTGATATGCAGTGGCGTAGCCAGAGCGGGAAGATTGGGGGGGCAAACAGGTAAGAAAAATAGCAGGGGTCCGGGAATCTTCCCCCGGGAAAATTGAAGACCACGCCTCTTAGAATGCTGGAAAACGGCTCTTTTTAGATGGCTTATAATGAGCTATGCCATTTGTGCAATAAAATTTGTAGGGGGGCCCCCTACAAATTTTATTGCAGATTTGCACTTTTCTTAGAGACCAACTTTCTGAGCATTGGGGGGGCGGCTGCACCCCCTTGCCCCCCCCCCCTCGCTACGCTACTGTTGATATGCACGCTGTATCTTTGTTAACACTTGTCCTTTGATATCTAAACATACATGATAAAATTTACGAAGTTGACATATGCATGTTATATCATTCTGCCTTTTTCTTTTTTTTTTTTACCTTCTTTTCGTCTTCTTTTTCTTTATTTTTTTTCCTTATCTCTTCTCAATATTCTACTTTGTCTTTCTTTTCTTTATTTATCTTTTTTTGTACTTTTTTTTCCAATTCAATTTTTTCGTTTTCTTTTTCTCCTCTTCTTCTTTTGCTCTTTTATCTTACTCTTCCCCCTTTTCTGGTCATTGTCTTCATTCCCTTTCCCCTTTCCTTCTTTTCTCAACTTTTTCTACTACACCTCCACCTTTAAATTGAGCTGACTCCACTCTAATCCTTCCACCTCCGTCCCTCCACTCGTATCCTTCCATTTCCTTCTTTCCCACCATCCCTTCACTAACTCTTCCATCTACCTCCCTCCACTCGTATTCTTCTACTTCCCTCTCTTTCCCCCCTCCCTTCACTCTAATTCGTCCACCTATCTTCCTCCACTCGAATTCTTCCACCTCCTTCCCTCTACTCTAACTCTTCCACATCCCTCTCTTCCTCCACTTTCGACCTCCCTCACTCCCTCCTACCTACTTCCACAATTCCACCTACCTTGCACAGGCGACGGCGAGACAACAAAAGTGAAATTCGGCCACGTGTACAAAGGCGATGGGTTCCTCCTCGCCAACCCCAGCTGTGTGTGGTGGGACGAGGCAGCCTACGCCTGGAACACGAGTGGGTGCGCCCTCAATTACACGGACGCCCACGTAACGATCTGTCGCTGCAACCACCTGACGTCCCTCGCTCTCCTGATGGACGTTCGTGGATTCTTGGCGAAGGAAGGAGTGAGAGAGGTTAGTTAATGGTGCTTAGAAGTTCCGACGGTGGTGTTGCTGATATTGTTGTTGGTGTGGTGGTGTTATTATCAGTCATCTTTATCATTATCATTGCTGTTCATTTTGTTATCATTATCACTATTATTGTTGTTGTTTATAGTGTTATTATGACTGTCATCTTTATCATTGTTGTTATTGTTATTGCTATTGCTTTTGATCTTGTTATCATTATCACTGTTATTATTGTTGTATTTTATAGTGTTATTATGACTGTCATCTTTATCATTGTTATTAATTTTACTATTGGTATTATTATTGTTATTATTGTTGTTATTGCAGTTTGTTTTATCTGGTGTAGCTACTGGTATCATTATCATTGCCATATGTTGGTGTTCTCTTGTGTGTCTGGTGTTGCTGGTATATTTATCCTCATTATCATTATTGTCGTTGTAACTGTTGTTGATGCTGCTATCATCCATTACTATTGACATCATTATTACATATGTTACTGTCCTATTACATTTTATTATTCATATAGAATTATCAATTACTCCCTCGCCCTAAACTAGTCACAGCGATTTAAAAGGAGGAGGAGGAGAACAACAAACAACAGGGACAGCAAAACAGTAGAAAGCATCAATATCAGAACGGCGCTCTCTTTCCCAGAACCCCGCCTACCTCGCCGGCAAATGGCTAACCCTCCTTGGCTGCAGCGCCTCCGCCATCTGTCTCGTCCTTTGCATCGTCTGCATTCCTCGCCCTCAAGCAGCTGCGGGAAACCACCTGCTGGAAGACCCGTTGCCATCTGTGCGTGAGTCTCCTGTTAGTGCAGCTGCTCGTGATGGGCCTCGACGCCACAGAAACACGGTGGCTGTGCTTATCCGTTGCTGTGTCGCTTCACTTCGCCATGCTGTCGGCGTTCACGTGGGGGGCCGTCGAGTCTTTTAACATGTATATGAAGTTTGGCAAGGTGAGCGCGGCCTTCTCTTGTGCTTCTTCTGACGATGATGATAATGAAATGATGATTATTATTGTAATTATTATTGTTATTATTATTATCTTCATGATCATGATAACTATCATTGTCATTATTATCATTATTATTATTATTATCATTAATATTGCTGTTGTTGTTTTGTTGTTCTTGTCATTATTATCATTATTATAGGTATTGTTATTATCATGATTATGATTACTACTACCATTATTATTATTATTATCATCATTATTATTACTATTATTATTATTACTATTAGCCTTACTGTTATTACCATCCTCATCCTCATCATTATTATTACTATTATTTCTTTTTTTACTCTGTAAAAAGAAGCTGATGCATTTTGAATAACCAGTTCCACATTATGAAATACTACAATACTGATGTATTCAACGTCAAGTTTTCTCCAATAATTCTGATGAAGATATGATATCAAACGCTAATTGATATATATTAATTCCAAACATTTATTCACCTTCCTGTATGTCTCTACATTCTAATTCACACTTATTTCCCAACATTTTCCTTTTCAAACTGCACTCTGCTTGATCTTTGACATTCCTCTCAACAGGTATGGCGTCCGCAGAGGTCATTGGTCAAGTTCTATGTGGGCGTCGGATATGGCTTCCCCGCTGTGGTAGTTTCGACGACCCTTGCTGTCAGTAAGACTCACGGTTATTACACTGAGACAACGTGAGTAATCTATTTTCGCGTTCTGTGTGTCTGTTTCTGTGTCTGTATGCGTTTTGTGCGTCTATTTCTGTGTCTGTGTGCGTTTTGTGTGTGTGTGTGCGTTTTGTGTCTGTTTCAATGTTTGATGGAGGGATGTTACATAGTCTTATGAAGGTATGGGTGAGTTTTTATTTACTTTAAGAGATGGGGTGACCAATTGAAGATATAAAAGAAATAATTGAATAGTGGTCCCTGAGGGATATAGAAAACGATTTTTTTTATAGAACTCGCGGATTCTCTTCATTTTTCTTAATTAGAAAAAAAATCTTTCAATTTAAGAATTGATATATTTCCTTTCATCTCACCATTAAATAAACAATGGAAAACTAAATTACTTTATGTTAGCTTATTCTGCACGAGATAAATCCACTTCTTGAGCGCATAGAGAATATTCTAATAGTTACAAAGTCAGTAATTGCTCTTATTAAGAGCCACGGAACATAAGATCTGTAGAGCCTGTAAATGAAATAATGATAATAATAAAACTGCGAAATACATTTCTTAAAAACCCATTAGCAGAGAGAGAGAGAGAGAGAGAAATAGATAGCTGAAGAGAGAGAGAGGGAGAGGTTTAGTTTAGTTTGATTCCATTTGTTACAATGGATATTCTTGGTGTGACATAGTGTCTGTTTCATCAGTTATCCCCTGTGTGCAAGGAATGGCCGGGGTTACCATCCACTGCAGGCGAGGGATTTGAACGCAGGTCACCAAGATTGCTAGACGAGATCGCTACCGCTGCACCACACAGCACACAAAGAGAGAGAGAGAGAGAGAGTGAGATAGGTAGATAGATTGATAGACAGATAAATAGATAGATAGAGAGAATATCTTCAGAACCAAACCTTAGATATCCTGTAGGGGAGGATCAGTCTAGCTGAACATCTCCAACCAATTCTTTTAATCAAGGAGAAATTTCTGTGACCTTTCAGATGCTGGTTGGCACCCGGGGCGATGATGTGGACATTCTTTGGCATCGTGGCACTGATCCTAGCTGTGAGTCCCGTTCTTGTGTGTTTCTGTCGGTGTTCTGTATCTGTCTGTCTGTTTGTTTGTGTCATTTTTTTTTTTGTTTGTTTGTGTGTTTCTGTATGTCTGTGTCTGTGTGCGTTTTGTGTGTCTGCTTTTGTGTCCGTGTGTGTCTTATGTATCTGTTTCTGCAATTCCGTGTTTTTCTGTATCTGTGTGCGATTCTGTGTGTCTGTTTCTGTGCCTGTGTATATTTTGTGTGCCTGTATGCGATTATGTGTGTCTGTTTATGTGCCTGTGTGCGTTTTGAGTGTGCAAATATATGTGACTGTTCTATGTCTGTGCTCGTTTATGTGTCTGTTTCTGCGCTTCTGTGTGTCTGTTTCTGTGTCTGTGTCAGTGTCTTTATTGCGTCTGTTTCTGTGTATTTGTGTACATCTGTGATTATGTTTTTTGTTTGTTTTTTTATCAGGAATGTGCCTGTCTGCGGCTCTTACTGTCTTTCTGTCTGTGTCTATGTCTTTCCTGTTTGTCTTTTTTTTCTGAATCTCGTCTTTATCTTTACGCCTGTGTCTGTTCCATCTCTATATCTCTTTGAAACAGTTGAACGAAATTTACTGCAGTGTTTGATTTCCTTTTCTTTGGTCTGGACGTAAATGAAACATGTTGCAGTTTTTTTTAACTGTCAAAACATATCACCAAACTAACAATGACTATAAGGGTATTTTGTTTGTTTTTGTCTTTTGTCTTTTTGAGTTTACATATTAGTTCAATTTAGGTTTTCTCTTTCTGTCTGTCTGTTTGTCTATTTGTCTCTCTCTCTCTCTCTCACTCCCTCTCTTCCTCTCTCTCACTCAGTCTCTCCTATATTTCTAAATATCTATTTCGAATATTTTACATCGGCACAAAAATCAAATTTTCCACGGTGTATTTATTTCTGTTTTTATCATCGGCAATTTGCTATCGCCAAAGGATAATCGCTATCACCATCACATCATTACTATTATTGTCTCCATCACATCATAAATATAATCTTTATCACTACGTCACTATCACCATCATTATCAACTCCACACCACCACAAACACTGTCTTCATCCTGACCATCACCATCTCTCACTATCATCACCTCTCAACATCACTATCTCACATCATCTTTCGCTATAACCTCATCACTCCATCACTGTCTCTCACTGTCACCATATATCACCATCACTATCTCTCTCTGTCGCCATGTCACCATCAGCACCAGCCATCACTATCTCTCACTCTCACCATGTCTCATCATCACCATCTCTCACCATTACCATCATTCACCATCACAATCTCTCACTCTCTCTCCCCATCAGCCTCTTCCCCCATCAGCCTCTCTCCCCATCACCAACCCTCACAACCCCTCCCCCCTCCCTTTCAGATAAACCTCCTCGCCTTCGTGATGGTGGTGCGCTTGGTCTTAGCGCGAACGATGAAGGCCAAGAGTCCTCAGCCAGCTGGCACTGATAGCAAAGG